AGCTAGGATAGAAAACGGGATAGTTGCCATCATCCTCACTGCTACAATCCCCAGACACTGCCAGTGTTACATTAATGCTAAAACAGTTCACATTAGTCATGGTAGGGCTAGCATCTCCAGAAGCTGTTTTTGAGGCCAGAAGAAGTGCTGAGGCCTGGTCTACATTTAAAACTTATACAGGCATAGTTATATTGGTTAGGCATGTGGGGTTTTTTTGGTTTTTTTGGTTTTTTTGTTTGTTTGTTTGTTTAAACAGACATAGCTATGCCAGTATAAATAGGGTGACCATATGTCCCATTTTGACCAGGACAGTCCCATTTTTAAGCCTGGTCCCGAGCTTCCAGACTCTTCTCCTCCCCCCATCCCCGCCAAAAGAGTAGGCATTTGTCCCGTTTGCTGATCAAGTTGGCAAGAGCAAACGGGACAAATGCCTACTTTTGGGGGGGGGGGGGGAGAAGAGTCTGGATGCCCACTTGTGTCAACATGTTTGGTGGGGGCAAGCGGAGATGCCAGCCTCCTCCTCCCGCCAGGGAGGGATACAGAGCTGGGGCAGGGGGGAGAATGTTGAGGCAACATTCCAGCACGGGGAGGGGGCCAGCAGGGTGCCAGCAACAGGCAACAGCCTCTTGGGGGAAGGGGCCTCAGGTAAGAGGCTGGGAATGTCCCGTTTTCTCTTTGGGAAGCTGTGGTCACTCTAGTTACAAGTCTTAGGGGTTGTCTACACTTGAAACGCTACCGTGACACAGCTGCACAGAGTTAATCCAGTGACAGGAGAACCCCTGTGGCGTTTAGCTAGGTTAACGGAAAAATCCTTCTGTCAACTGAGCACTGTCTACACAGGAACTTAGGTCGACCTAACTACCTCACTCAGCGGTGTGGATTTTTTCCACACCCCTGAGCCATGTAGTTGGGTCGATCTAATTTTCTAGTGTAGATCAACCCCTAGTCTACACACACCAGCATAAGAGAGTGCTTTTGCAGGCATAGCTTATGTCTCTCAGGGGAACTGGTGTAAATTATGCCAGCAAAAGCACTTTTATGCTGATATAAGCTGCATCTATGCAGGATACTTTGCTGATATAGCTATACTAGCATAGATATAGCAGCACAACTTTCCTAACGTAGACATGGTCTCCTCCAAGCAGATAGCCTGTGCCAGCTATTCAAGCTGGAACCCCTGCCCACACCAGGAACAACTTTTTGGTCAGTCAAACTCAAGAATCCTAAAGGCTTGTCTACAGAGAAATTAAACCACCTGAACTAAAGGTGTGAATTTAAAGTGTATTACTTAAAGCACATTAGCGCCGATCTACAACGGGAACCTACATTGGCATAGCTACATCTCTCAGGGGTGTGAAAAATCCACACCCCTGAGCGATGTAACTAAGACCACCCAACCCCCGATATAGACAGCACTATGTCGATGGAAGAATTCTTCCATCGACATAGCTACTGCCTCTCGGGGAGGTGGATTACCTATGCCAACAGGAGAATCCCTCCTGCTGGAACAGGGATTGTTCCCACTGAAGCGCTATAGCAGCTGCAGTTCTGTGGCTGTTGCAGTTTAAGTATAGACATACCCTGAGACTCCTGTGTGGATGCTCTCAGTCAGAAGTACAGTGGACTGAGTTTACTTTAGCTTAATTCCTCGTGTAAATGTCCTAAATTTCCAGTCCCATATGCAGGGATAACCCACACGTACAATGATTAAGTTTGCACAAACATCTTTTCTGAAGTACTGAATGTGTCCTTTGTTGGAGTATATTATTATTTCTCCTTCTCAGCTGCTGCTACCTCAATGGGGAACATAAGATGTCCCTCAGTCCTAGAAATCCTGGTACCATGTACACTGAGTTAGGAGATCAGGCACTTGGGTAGCAAGCACAGGGCTGGGACTTCTGGGAGTAATAAAGAGCAAGGAGCAAAGGCGGCAGGGAACGGATCTTCACCATCCCTGACAAAGCTTTCACTGAGTAGCATTCCTCCCTTCATGCCAACATAAGAGACACACTCACTCTGCTGACAGCATGATGAAGTGTTGCCTGCATTTAGCAATTCACTTATATCTTGGAGTTTAAAATATACTGCAAGTTATATTTGTTGGTGCTGGGGATGCCACTGGCTCTTTACACACTTTTTTCGATTTGCAATGCAGTTCTGTAGTCTATACATCTGATAGTGGCCTATGTAAAGTTGCCCTCAGCTTATCACTTGAAGGGTGGGGAGAAAGGAAGAAACATTAGCTCTATGATAGAAGAATGGGAGCATTCTGTTCATTCAGTAACTTCTCTTCCACCTCATCCAGTGATAGAACATTCAGAGTATCCCATTTTATATGTGGGGAATAGACAGGTACAAGGGTCAGTGGTGGTAATGGGTATTAGTATTCCATCTCTGAAGGAAGTAGGATGGTCAGAAATGAAAGCAATTAGTGCAGTAAGCAGACAGCTAGGACAAGAACAGAACAATGATCTCTTGTGCCCAGAGTTAAGATGTCACCACCACACTTCCCTATGCACGCAGCAGGTCATGTTTTGACAAGCAGAGCTGTTTTTCTTGGTCTGAAAGAAACACACATGATTGTAGTTTTTGCTGAATACATAAATAGCAAAGACTGATTAATAGAGAGTCACTGGGTAGGAGGAACCTTAGGCATGTTGAGATTCTCTCCTGTATAAAGCTGTTCTGAAGAACAGAAGTAGGAACCGCACAGAACACTCTGATAGTTAGAATATTGTGAGAATCCTTACACAAGATTTTTTTTAGATTGACAAAAGCAACTAAGTTGTAAGCAGTTACATGCAACTGTATTAAACTGAAGAAAGTTAAGCCAGTCATTTTGGGTAATGAACTTGGAAGCAAGAAAATAGCACAATAAAATGGGTGATTAAGACTGGACCTTGGATGTACAAGAGAAATTGCTTCCTGCAACCTACTTTAGTCCAAGTCATCACTTCAGAAGTTATTGCACAAGGAAGTATTTTATAAACCACCACCACCCTCCACACACAAACATTCATTCACACTATCCATTCTTGTTAGAATTGAACTCTCATGCCAACTTCCAAGTGAAGTCAGGCTGCTTAAGGTCCAATGGCTCTGCTCCATCGGTTCTTCATTTGCAGGGAAAAAAACACAGAGTTGAGCCAAAGTACTGTTTCTTTTGGAATTAAAGGGTTGCCATCTCTTGGCAGACCTACACAGCCAAAAATGCTGTACATAAAGCCAATGGCATTAACACAGAGACGTATACACCATTTTTACAATGCAATTTCTTAACCAGCTGAATGCATTCTTTCTGGCTCCCAGATAATTCCTGCTCAATCACACAGCCTTTTCCCTACAAAGCTTTGTGAATATGAATGAAATGATATAGTACAGTGGAAGTCCTGCAGTAATTCTTTTGGGAATGGGGGTCAGAAGTGGCTGCATTTCATTACTGAATGTCCAAAGGAGGGGTCTGGTGAGAATGTAATCACCTGACACCTTCACATGAGGATTCAAAGTTTAGATAGATATGGAGGGAAAGGAAGGGGAGAGGAAAGGTTAGGTGACTCTACCAATGGAAACAAATACAAAATTTCCTTTACAGTTTAATGTCACTTCTCTAGCTCTTCAGTGTTCTTTCTCCTTATATTCAGGTACATTTTTGTCCCCGTCCCCCCCATACACGGCAATTTTCAGGAGTATACACTGAAGCAACACTCCAGACCTAAAAAGGATAGACATGACTGCCTCTGTATTTAACTGGCTCTTGTTCCTTCACTAAACCAGAAGCACATCACTGAGTGTGACCCCTCTGCCCAGGGCTCCTTGTGTGTTGCTTCTGCAGCGTTCCTGATATTTGCTGGCCCAGGCAACAAGAGACCATGCTCCACTCCTAAACACTGATTTACTGTTCCTAACCTATCAGGGCAGCAAGCTGCTGCAAGGGGGCCCTGCAGGTCCTAAACATCTCCTACAATTACCAAGGGATCACCAGGCTACAAAGCTAACAAGTCACACCAATTTCACTGTCACTGCTTAGAAAAGCAGGAGCAGTAGTTGAAGCAAGCACAAGACCTGAACAACAAACGGCATGCTTTTTACTTGCAGCAAGGAACAACAAAAGATTAGGCGGAGAGAGACAGAAAAGGATGAGGAATGGAATGGACATCTAGCCAGGGCATAGCCTTTGTACATCAATGGGCTATCTGCCACATCTTTCATTTTGGTCTCTGCCTTCTAGGTGTATATTTATAAACTGTGCTTGAAAACCTTACCAAACAGACACACACACAGCAAAACCGGATATATAGATTAGTATTCCTTCAGCCAACAGTATTTAACCTTTCAGAAAGGAGTGGGTAGAGAGAAGAACAGTACTCTAATGCTATAGTTCTACTGCTGGCTCCCCTTAGCATTGAACCATAGCACACACAGTCTAGCACTCCAGAAAACTCTGTGCATTATCTAGGAGCACATTCTTCATGGTGTTTAGAGGCTTCAGAGCCATACAAAGACCCCCAGTAGCAAATTGAGAATCACAGTACAGTGTAGAACCTCAGAGTTACAAACACCAGAGTTACGAATTGACTAGTCAACCACACACTTCATTTGGACCTGGAAGTATGCAATCAGGCAGCAGTAGAGACAAAAAAAAAAGCAACCAAAAAACAAGTACAGTACTGTGTTAAACTACTTTAAAAAAAAAAAAAAATGTCAAATTTAAAAAAAAATTGACAAAGTAAGGAAACAGTTTGTGCTTATTTCATTTACATTAAAAAGGTTAAAAGCAGCATTTTTCTTCTGCATAGTAAAGTTTCAAAGTTGTATTAAATCAAAGTTCAGTTGTAAACTTTTTAAGAACCGTAACGTTTTGTTCAGCGTTACGAACATTTCAGAGTTCTGAACAACCTCTATTCCTGAAGTATTTGCAACTCTAAGGTACAATGTGACTTGTAACTCTCTGTACAATAAATAGGGCAGAACCAAACAAGTCTGTGAATACTCTAGCTTACCATTTCGAGACAAATCAAGTTCCACCAGCTGCATAAAGTTTGCTATTTCTGGAGGGAGCCGCTGAATTTCATTATCACTGAGTCCAAGTTTCCGTAATTTTACAAGCTGGAAAAAGGGCTGAAAAAGAAAATCCCATATTATTATTCACATAATGCATCTGCAACTTGGTTAAGTTCACATATGTCAAGTTTCTTGGAGGGACAGCAGCACTGGTTGATATAAACATCTAAAGTCCCAGGGACTGCCTCACAAATCTTCTTATTCAACTAAGCCCTGGTCTACACTGGGGCAGGGGGAGGTGGGGTGGAAATCGATCTAAGTTATGCAACTTCAGCTATGTGAATAGATCGACTTAGATCGTACTTACATCGACTTACCATGGTGTCTCCACCACAGTGAGTCGACTGCTGCCGATCCCCCGTCAACTCTGCCTGCACCTCTTGCGGCACTGGAGTACAGGAGTTGACGGGAAAGCACTCGGGAATCGATTTATTGCGTGCAGACTAGACGCGATAATCAATCCCTGCTAGATCGATCGCTGCCTATTGACCCGGTGTGTAGTGAAGACATACCCTTAGTATGATAAAAATCAAGTACAGAAACAACTTAAAAAGAAGTCAGATTCTTTTCAGAACCACAGAAAACAATTTCCATCTAGGTATTTGTACTGACCTTGCTATGAAAGGTGAGTAGACCTTGCAGCACTCTTTTGTGAAAAATAAAGTTCAGTGTAGCTTTTAGAACATTTATAAAATTCTAGCCATTATGAATCACAGCAGATTCATAAAGTCTAGACAGTTACGTAATTGTTACTTAGAGGCTGGCTTTTAAGCAATATAGTTTGCTGACTACACTTCCAGATAAATACTATTTTGGTATAATTTATTCAGCAACTCTCTCAGAGAACATCTCAGCATTATTCTGATCTCACAAAGTAGAATATTAATTATAAAAGCTATTCACATACACAGAAATTCCACATCCCAGTTATGATGGTTAGAGCACAAAGAGAACTTGCTACTCTAAAAAGTCTGTAAGTTCCATTCCCATAGTTTTAATACTATAGGGAAATATTGTGCTCACATAAGTCAATAAAACATCATCTATACGACGATCTTGTGATAGCTTGGACTTGGATATCACAATTTTCTACTTTGAAAACTGCTTTTCAGAAGAAGGCATTATAAAAGAAAAACAGTGTTGCCAACTCAAAATTATACTGCAAGTCTCATGATATTTAGGTTTGGAGGGGTTTGTTTTTGTTTAAGCCCCAGCTCCTGGACTCAATCTCAGCTTTCATTTAGAAAATTTTCTAGCCCTAATGGCTGCAGTGAAAATATGGACCAAGTGTTTTCTAAAGGCTTTAAAAATAAAAAAATCCACAGATGGCAAATAAAAAGAAGCCCCAATTTTTATTTTTTTAAAATCTCATTGGGGGGGGTCTGACACATGATTTTTTTAATAAAACTGACCTTTTATTACTCACTAGGAAGTCAAGAAATATGCAGAACTCCCTTGAAATACAACTGTGCAACAATGAAGGACTAAAACAAAAACGATATTGGATATCACTTGACTCCAAGCAAATGGGAAGGGATATAGTGCACACAATTGCAAATGGAAGGGGAGATGGTTCACAAGACACTATTAATATACAGCGCAGACTAGGAACATTTGAGAACTCCTCATCCACACAGTGTTGTTTATTACATATACAGCATGTACACATGTCTGTAATATATATTGCAAACACCACATAAAAATATATAAGGACCAAATAGGACCAGTTAAACCTGAACAAGTTACAAGATATTTAGCCAGGTTACTATTCCCAAAGTGAACTAAATTTCTTACATTTAAAGTTCTCTAAGAATTGTATGTCCATTTTATGTACCAGTTGAGGAGGCAACACCAATATGTAGATAAATGATAAACTGTAGAAATGTGAAAAAAGTCTTAAAGTTGTTGTAACCTTTTTATACAGGCCTAAATCATTTTTCAGTTCCAATTTTAGTGGATCCTATTCCAATTTCAGATAATGCCTATTTATAGTTAAGCAAGAGCTACACTGTCAATGCTCACTGAAGCCTTGAGGTAGTCTCTGAGCTACGCTTACTTCTGCCAATTGTTTGTTAGTGGCCAAAACAGCAGTATTTACTAGTTAAAATAATCTATATGCATGCACACGTTACACTCATCAAGAGAGCATACTGCCTTAAATATTTGCTACATGTAATCTGATAGACCTGGCTCATTACTAAATTACCATAATAGTCGGACTCTATTCACAAAGCACTCTGGTAGGAACCTAAGTGCAACATAATAATTTCTTGATATTTGAATGGGGGCCAGACCAGAGTGTCTACCCAGCATTCAAAATATGCTGCAACAGCATGGTTTTGACTGCAGATCCAACTTCTTTGCATGTGTTTTGGCAACATTTTTTAAATACAGCTTCTTTAGTGAAAGAATTCTCAGTTTAAAAAAGAAAAAAAGGGAACATTACCCATTTTTCTCAGCATTGTGTTTAAGGATTTATATTAGGAGGAACACTTCAAAGCTCAATGCTGTTCATTTTGCTGCAAAGGAAGGGGGGAGGGTCACTTGTGACACTGACTAGCTATAGTCCACAAATTAAGACCTTGTAAATCAATTTTTATCCTTATAATGTTCATGACCAAAAAAAAAAAAAAAAATGTACACCACACATTTCATTCCTTAATGAAATCTTTCATGTCAAACATTATAACTGGTCCTCCTGAATCTGGAAACAAGCAAACCAAAAAATAAAGTCAGTCAGTCTCTAATAAGGATTGATGAAACTCCAACTTCTCTTCTGGGCAACGGGCCAAACACACACACGTTGCTGGACTTCTTTGACTGCTCCCTTCTTGCAAGAAGGCAGAGCATTAATGCACTAGCATCCTGCATGAATATTTCAATCCCTTGCCTGAACAACAATAAGGAGCAGATGAAAGCAAGAGACAATAAAAAAAACGAAGATAATGGAGGGCTAAAGAACACTCTTGAAGCTAAGCTGCTTTAAGTGTTCTTTTCAATGATACAACCACACTGAAGCCATGTGAAAGTCAGTTTATAATCTCCCTTTGACTCAGCAGATTGACCAAAACGCTTAACATCACAAGCAACGTCTTCCTTCAGGAAAGCCACCACTAACAGCAGGAGGCTCAGAAAGATAATTAGGGCCTGATTTTCTAGAAATGACAACAGTTACATCCACAATAAGTTGCCATGAAGAGACTATGAATGAGTTGCAAGCTCAGTGTTGTATCTGACGAAAACTGAGGCCTTATGGGGGGGGGGGGGGGGGGTTGAGGGACGACAAGCAGTTAAAAGTCTATTTTAAAATAGCCCCTTAAGCATTTTATACGTAACATAGCTTTGGTGTCAACTTCAGATAATAAAGGCTGGAATTTCAAATCCAAGAAATAAACATATCACTGGGGATATCTGAAAGTCACTGGAACTTTTATTTTACTTACTGTTTCATATAGTGCCTATAATTAAAGTATCAAGGCACAGAATAACTGAACAGAGATCAAAACTTCGCCTGTCTTAAGGCAGCAACAGCTTTTAAAAAGGAAAAATAGGTATATAGGAGTTACAGATTTAGGAAGAAAAGTTTGAGAATAAAAAGCCTCACGTATAGTAAATTGATAAACAATTTGAACAAGAACTTTTTTTAAAATGTAGGCCTTTAGTTAAGCTCATAAACCCACACTTCTTTTCAGGCAGAAGCCTAATTTTAGGCAACAATTTTTAACACCAAAGTATGAAAGCCACCAAAATGAGAAAAGCCCTCGGGTTTTGAGAGAGTAATCTTCCATTTGCAGATTATGTTTCTGTAATTATCAGGACACTGATTAGAATAATTTTCTTTAAAACTGTTTTATTCTTCTCTTGTGCTGCCCCAGAAAAAAGGGGAGGATTTGAAGCTTATTGTCACAACCACAAATATTTCTCTGGGCAAACAGGCAGAAGCCAAAAGAAGTTTTGGTGAACTCTCCGAAAAGACAGCTAAAAGGAAAGGCATTTGTTCCAAATTATCTCACAAATCTTTGAGATTACAGATACCATTAAATGCATGTTTGTCATAGCATAGATATGGTATAAACATTTCGTATAACCCGTATGAGCACCTTTGTACTGGGATGGTAAAACATCTAGCATAGCTGACATTTTTTGCAGTTCTAGCTAAGACCATTGCCTCAGCTTGCTAGGGGGCTGAAGCTGGAAAAAATATACATATAAATCCTCTCCCAAACAGTGAAATGCAGCACAGTTTTAACATATCATTGAAGCGATAAAGTGTGAAAGAGCAAGCATCACTTTGAATGAGGATGATGGAAACCAAACTGCAGAATGATTTACTCCCAAGGGCATTCTGCACCAAAAATTTAAATATTCTGCACACGATATTTTAAAAATCTGCAAAATTCCGCAAATTTTATTTGTCAAATAAATATGGAGGCTCCAGCACGGCACTGGGAACACAGGCCACCAGCTGCACAGAGATGGGAGATCACTGTGCGGTTCCCCCCAGGGACATGGACTCAGCGGAGAGGCTGCACGCAACCCTGACACAGTGTGAAGGCCAGACCTGCCCCAGGAACACCCCAGAGCCCTGCCTCTCCGTGCCAGGTACACCAGGTATGGGCAGATAGGCTCAGCAATGCAGGATCCAAGTGCAGAGGGGCTTGGCAGGGGGAGGGGAGACCCAGGTGTGGGTTGAGAGGGCTCTGTGTGGGGCAATCTGGATGAGGGCAACTCAGTGCGGGATCTCGATGCACAGGGGCTTGTTGGGGAGTTGTGGGTGCAATGATAATGGGACTCTGCAGGGCGGTCCAGATGAAGAAGGCTGGGGCTCAGTGGGGCGGGGGGTGTCTGGGTGTGGGGGTATAGATGGTTGGGATTCAATAGGGTGGCGATCCAGGTGGCTTGTTGGGGTGGTCCAGATGCAGGGGGAGTGGGGCTCGTTGGGGTGGGGGGGGGGCAGGGTTGGGTGAAAGGGGATGAGGCTTAGTGGGAGGGTCTGGGTATGAGGGGTTCTGGATGCACGGGGGTTTGGTGGATGTGGGAGCAGCTCCCTGTACAGT